CCTCCTCCCTCCCTCCCTCCTCTCTCTCTCTCTCTCTGGTCGTTGAATTTTTACAACGTCGTAGGAAAGAATAAGAAAAAAAAAAAAAAAGAAAGAAAGAAAAAGGAAAAAGAACAAGAAGAAGAGGATCGAATAAAGTGGTCTGGCGAAATTAATGTTCCACGCGAATATCTTCTTCGTGTTATTCGAAGCTTGGTCAAGAGGTGAAGCTGAATTTCACCGAAGCTTTAAAATTTCCTGTTTGAAGAGGCTGCTCGCGATGTAAGCAATGGAAACGCGTCTCTATTGTCTTGCACGGCAGCCATCGCGGGGGAGGAGGGGAGAAAAAATCGTTTCGCGTCTCCGGGGAATTCTTCGAGAAGAATATCACGGATGCATTCACTTTGCTTCGACTGCGTAGCTATTTTTAATACTTTACTCGAAGAAAGAAAAATTAAGTATCTTCTTGTCTCTCCCTTCGATTACTCGATCCATTTTTTTTTTTTTCTTTTAGAAGAAAATTCATATTCGATACAATCGGGATTTCTTTTGGAAACAATCAAAAATGATTCGGGAGGGTTAAAGAGCAGGGAGGAAGAAATCGTTTCTCCATTTCTTTCCGTGGAAAGAAATCGATATTTCTTCGCGGCGCGAATAACGAGGGAATAATATTCGGGGGTGAATGAGAAAAAACTATGGCTGTGAAACGTTTCATGGGCTCGCTTCGATTCGGAATCAAAAGATTCTCGATGTTGAAACGGCGATGAAGAGACGGCGGGAATTATGGGCGCGTTGCGCCACGAGAGACGACGAGAGAGCCCGTATTTATCACGAAGAGTAAAACTGACAGCAGTCCATTTCCTGTTCGTCCTGCCTGTCTGCCTGAACATAATATCTTCTGACGAAACAACGTGGACGCCGTTTGTTTGGGAAACAATGGACCGAAACAATACCCAATCCCTCCTCGGTGCGCGGACACGGATACAGACCACCATTTCCACGCCCCGTTACATTATTCTCTCTTTCCATCGACGAAAGAATCTTGGCGCGGGGGAAAGACCCGGTTCAATTCATGGCGACAAACATTTTTACTCGCGTATCAATGATCTCTCTCTCTCTCTCAATTTCGTTTCGTTTTCGCAAAAATAGTCGTCTTCTCCTCCGTGGAGAAGAATTTTCGGCAAACAGTCGAGTATATTATATAATTCAATCCTTTTTTCTCAGAACTATAAACTAATCGATTGACACTGGATCGCTAATGGAAAGTATATTTTTTATTTCATCTTCTTTTTTAATGCAAAGATATAGAATGTACAAGCGCGTGTTGATAGCAGCGTAAAAGACGAAAACAAGGTGTCGCGATCTGTTTAAGAAGACGTGGTAATTGATAATATCAATTTAAATGTGAGAATTCAACGATTTTTGATAAATATTTATCAAAAATATTAATGACTAATTTAAATGTACATACGTACATATAAATACGTACGAAATTGAAATTTTATTTTACCAATTTAACTAATTAACATTAGGAAATATCAAGATTACACGATCGATCGAAAGATTGTATTGTATTGTATTGATTGTAAGAGGAAAAAGTTATATATATATATATCAATGGCGAAAATCCGTCGGATGTGGGGAACACTCCCTTACTAATTACTAATTGTTCCCTGGCTCGATTGTTCATACGAACGTAGCACGAAGTTTAATTGAAATACCTACGGTCGTAGATTCTCATTAACGATATTTCTCGTGGATTCCTCGCGCGAAGACGTTCGCGCGAAACCGAACGTGCACTTGACAGAAATTAGTAATCCTTAATGGATGACGGGAAGCAAGCCTGGTGGTATTACTGGTCCCTTATCCAGTCATAGGCGTTGCCTTGCCTCTTCCTCTTAGACTCGACAATGGAGGATATTCGATTAATTTCTCAAGACAATAGTAGCGCGTCTTCGCTCCCACGACTCTCGCCTCCGCGAGACCATCCTCAAACGCGTTTCGATCGTTGCAGGATACGTGTATTTAATCCCCACAACGAGTATTAATCATACTCGGGCTCAATGAAATGATTTTCACGATCATTCAAAAGAATTACGCACAATAAATTTTGTTGATTAATTGTCATCGATCGACGTTTCATTACACTCCTCGAATAATACGAATAATCCTTCCTATTCATCTTGTGTGTCCAGAAACACCCTTCCATCGTGGCATTTTCCACCGTCTAAAACTCATTTTCCTCAACTTCTCCCCCAGTGAATCGCGATCAGCGGCCATGACAACGACCACGGGTGATCCCTCGACCCTGAAGAGTCCAGCCTCGTTGTCCGGCGGCGACCTGGTCTCCCGCCTCCTGGCAGCGACACCCCCGTACTTGTACAACGTGCCGTTGACGCCGCACAGCTTCTTCTTCAGCGAGATGTTGCGCTCGTTCGTGCAGGCGAAGAGCGAGGTGTCGTCGGTCGGAAACACGTCGACGAGCGCCCCTCGCCGCCGCAAGAGATCCTGGCGGGACGCTCGGGACCGACCGTTGGAGCTGACCACGAAGGAGAGGCAGCACCATCACCATCACCACCACCATCACTCGCAACAACAGCAACAACAGCAACAGCAGCAACAATCGACGATGGACAAATACTTTCAACAGCAAGCGGAGACGCGGTTGGAGGCGGGGGTAAGCAAGGAGGGGGCGACGGCTACGACCCGGCCAGCAAAGTGGGCAACTTCGAGCAGAAGCCGAGCTTCGCCACGGACATGTTGAAACCGGTGGAGAACGAGAGCAAGGCCGTCGAGTTCGGGAAGCAGAGCAAGAGTTTCTTCGACGAGAGGCCCCGCCACTTCGAGCAGGCATCTTCCCCGCCCATGTTCCCCGGCGAATTGCAGAAGGTGAAGCCCGAGGAGAGTCACTCGAGCGAGCGCAAGAGCTGCAATTACAACGAGAGAAACCCGTACGACGAGCGTGGGGGGGCGAAGGGCAATCAAGGGGAGTTAGCCCCCCTCCTGGCCGGGGACCAGAAGAAGCTCGATTTCTCGAGGAATTTTCTGCCCGGCCTCCCGCCGCGGGGCTGCGACATGCTGCCGGCAGTGAAAGGGGGATTCGGCCTTCCGGGGAACGTGGCCAACCCGGAATTCCTCCCCGGCCCCCCTTTGGTACCCCCCCTACCCCATCCCCCAATCGTATCCGGGGATCGACCCGTTGCACTTCTTCATCGATCTCCGCGTGTCCGGCCACATTTGGGACAGGAAGCTGAGCGAGAGGCAGCTCCCGTTCAAGGGGAAGCATTGCTCGGCGTTCAGCGTGCCCCAGTCGAAGGAGTACAACGGGAACAGGCCGTTGAATTTGACGAGGGACGAGGCAGGCACGTCGAAGAGCGGCGAGGAGAATCCGCGCGGCACCAATTACATTCTCAGACATCTGACGAGGACGTACAGGGACATCGGCCAGGCGAGGAAAGGGTCCAGGAGGGATGAAACGGAGAGCGAGGATAACTCGAAGGACGTTGATAACAACAGTGGGTGTTTGCTTGTGTTTAAACTTGTTCTTCTTCTACATATATATGTATATATATATGTATTCATCCAGTTTTATTACTTTTTCTCGAATGTATTTGCACGCGTCTTTATAGTGCTTCGGTGTAACGTGAAAATTGAGAAAATTGGTTGCTTTTATGTTTCGGTATCTAAATATCGAGGTTTAAATTAAACGACGGTTAAATGTGACGGGGAAACGGTTCTAATCGTCCTTTTAGAAGAATATTTTAAATTTCGAATTCTTTTCGAACTTGTTCTTACGGGATGTTATTCTGAAAATGATAAAAATTCTCTTCTTTCGGATAAAATTGTCTCGATAAAGAAGAAAGATACGATAAAAATGACGAAGGAAAAGTAAAATAATTTTAAACGGAACGAAGTTAAAATTTTTAAAATAAATAAAGAGGTCGTTGATTAATTTTAAAAATTTTGTTACAAAACGCAGGCGAGAGGTCCCCGAAGCAGGAAGATGTCGTCGCGGTCCCTTCGACGAGCCCGGAAGAGGAGAGGAAAGATCTTCGAGCGTTGATAGGGTTGGAGTTGGTCGTGGATTACGTGAAAGAGCCGAAGGGAGATACCTCGAACGAGCAGACTTCGCAAGTAACCGAATAACTCGTGAAACGAATCGAACCATCCTATTTTTTTCGTTATTGCCTGTATAAATTAGTATTAGTAACCCCGACACTTGCTGATTTTCACTCAACCACGTCGCTCGTATAGAGAGAGAGACTTAAGAAAAAAGACGCGGAAACTTCTTTCGATCGTTGCAGAACAATCAAAACTTGAGAACAGATTGTCAATCGAATATTAGATTTACCAATTAATAACGCATTATCGCGTTATACTTAACGATAAACGATATATTTCGTATCCATCGATTTCTATCCTTTGCGAACTTTTTATTCTTCCTAGAAACTTTTTTTTTTCTAGAGACATTTTTAGGGCCTTTAAGACTTATTCGTCATTTTTTTCTTTTTTTTCCGAACGTATAATACAACGTCAAAGGAAACGAATTGAATTTTTCCGAGATATTCCTTTGAGATAGCTCGTTCTAATTTTTTTTTTTTTTCCTTATTTTCATTCGATGTGAATATTTAGAAACAACTTTGCGCATTTAGAGACGATAATTAAAAAAACCTAGCAGCCTCGAACCTTCATCTGGTGCTATCCGTCGCGAAAAAATGGCAAATTCGCGTGGATGTTCCGTTTCCAATTCGAAAAATCCTTCGTATATCGATCGCACGTGATCTGATCGAACGCGTACAACGTCTCTTTCCTTTTCTTTTTCTTCGATATCGTTGTTCATATTCGATATCGCGCACTTACCAGACGGAGTGAGATTTTTTTCTGTCTGTTATTCTTCGAACACTCGGCTCAACAGAGAAAGAGTCAGTTCTCTTAGAGAGAAGAGAAAAGATCGTAGAGAAGATCTCTTTCGTGGATACGCCGCCACGTTCCAAATTCGACTGTATGTGATATGCGATGTACATATTATAGTAGCGTTCTATTGTATCTATATGTATTAATAGAAATCATTCGAACTCCTGTATATTGAACGTAATAAAAAGTAATGCGATTCAATCACAATCTTTCTAAATAGCTCCCGCTTCCATCGAATAAAAAAAAAGTGAAAGAGAAATAAAATCGGATCAAAACAGGAATCAAAACCATAAATTTTTTTCGAACCAACTTACGAGTTCAAATGTTCGAACTCGATTTTTCAGAAACAGAAGGCAAGGTAAGAAGGGACGGCATGGTGCTTCTTCTGAATGCACCAGCACTCGTTATAATCGGGAGTACCCTCGAAGGGACGCACACACGAGCGGATCGTCATATTCAGCCCCGATACGGTCACACCCTGTCACCCTCATCGGCCTCTTCTTCGCGTTATTTGACTAATAAACTTCTATCCAAAGCCTCCTCGTCGATCGAGAGACACGCGTAGTCGACAGGGCTCTCTTTGACGCGGCCGTTGACAGAGGACAATTAGGGGAACACCGAGGAGTCCCCGATATTGTATGCGCGGAATGACAAGAGATACGTGGCTTTTAGGGACGAGGGCAAATCTCTGGCGGGAGATATCGATCTGCCGTCTCATTTGCAAAGGTTGAATGGAAAAGTTCGTCGGCGATGTTTGCGCGCGATTAGACGAACCAAGACTGTACTGCTTTCCCACCTTTCATCTCCTTGATAATTTATTTATCTGCAAAGTTACAAAGGAAATATGTTATATCTCTCCTCTCGATGATTTTTAATTTGACCGAATTCGATCGATACGATTTCAAATTTTACGCAATTGACGATGTTCGATACGCGATCAAATACATCGATCTAACATTCGTACAACAGAAGATCGTAGCATTGTTAATCGTACGTAGTCGATCGATATAAACACGTATATATTTGTCGAGAATCAAGTTTATATTTACGATAGAAGGCACGTTACGTTAATACAAACATTGTTTAAATCCGGTTTATTTACTTTTCCTTATAAGAAAACGAACGATCGTTTTCTCCCCGATATTTTACACACAAATTTAAAATTTAAAATTCAAACTATTCGTGATTGGCGATAACACGAAGCTTTAAGATCACTTCATTCTTGTTGTTCCTATCAATTTTCGCTGTTTTGCGGCTCGACTCTGAGATCACAATGACATCATTCGATCCGACTCTCTTAACAGGTGCTTCGACTAATTTGTAGCGCGTGATCGGTGGTAGCTCCTCTTTGTTCACCTCGATGAACGGCTTTTCCGCTCCTGCAACCGTGTACACCTAATTCGAACGTTAATACGACATTTATGGTATTACTGGTGAAATGGAAACGTGCGTTGATATTTGGAAAATTTTCCGGTTAATAGGATTAATCGATACGAGATTCGCGTAGCTTTAATCCGCCATTGCCATCGATTCTCGATTTGACGGTTATTATTATTATTATTATTATTTGAAAAATGAAACAGTTATTGCAATCTCTTTTTAGCAAAAAATGGGAGGAAGAAAATTTATCCAATTTTTTTTTTCGTTTACGTTCAATTTTGTCTTCTTCAGTCGTTTTTCTTTTTTTTTTTCCTTTTCATTTTTACTAGAAAACTTTTAAAAAGGAATATTACAAAATATAAATGGGTTTTGGAGTACAAGTACAATCGTAAAAGTGAACTTTGATGCGAAAGACTATTGTCATAAATGATTCATCAATTTATTTTCGATCACAATTTAGTTTTTTACAGAGAAACGAAACGAGACTCGCCTTTTTTTTTAACAGGTGATCGTATCTTATCACGATCCTTTTACAGAAAAGCTGAGATCCAAATCTCGCGAAGATTGCTCGTTCGGAGGAGTTAAATCGATTTTCATCCTGGTAAATAATAAACCCGTCCATTGATTAGGAAGAAGATGACGCGAAACAATCGCGAGAATACAACTCGATTGTGTTTTATGCGCGCAGAGGGAACGCACGGAGGATCGAGAAGATCCTGTCCCATCTCGATCGTGATGAAAATAAAAATAATGAAACATAAGTTTCCTCCGTGACAACTGGCAGATCCATTAATCCATCGTAAGGCGATTACAAGCCATCCTCTGTGGAATGATTAATTCAGAGCGCGACTTGACAACGAGTCAAAAGAACAAACAACAATTTCCTATTGATCTGACTATGAACGAAAAAGTATTTATCCAGTCGAGAGATCAGAGAAGTATATTACGTTATCGTGAATTCACGTTTCGTTATCTATTATCAGACTTTTTGGTCACCGATTTATTCCGAGATTTAGTCCAATTGCATCCATTTTTATTCTCTATGATCGATCACTTTTAACAATTTTGAATTAGAAATTCATGAAAAGTGACGAAAAATAAAAATTAGACGTACAACGATTGGAGATACGCTTATCCGAAATTCTAAATTCCAATTTTTAAACGAAAAAGAATTGAAGGATAATCAATGAACTGTCGAATTTAATACATAAATATCTATAAAATTTGTACGATCGTATCTTTTTCTCAACTCGTTTTATTCAACTCGGAGATAAGTCTATGCATCTCGCGTCGCTTGCCCTCTGTAAAACTCTTCACCGAGCAACTAGAGAAGAATCTCTTCAATAACAAGAGATAAGCCGTGGCGGGCACGAAACATTTCGTGCGACACTTGCGTCCAACATTAATGTTGCATATGGAAACAGAGAAAGAGGGAAGAAAGGAAGAAAGAGAAAGGGTGAATATTAAGCAGAAAATCTCTAGCTGCTCCGTCAGCAGCTTTTACATTTCGGTTGCCTGAAACGATCGGATCCAACGATTATGAACACCGAGGTGGAAAATAAATTGCGGAACTCTAAACTGGGAGTACATTCACAGGGGATAGATACCGATAGATGCCCCGATTTATTGTTCGGGTTCGAACTGTCGTTCGCTTTAAAGGTAGAAAACACGGCTTTCACTCGGGGGATCGAATGCAGGGAGGGGAAGAGATGAGCGGGTGGTGCATGTGCATTATTGGAACGCGACGAGAGATTAAAAACGACTTTTTCCAAAGGATCGGTTCCATTGACTGGGGTGCATTGCGGCGAGTCCTGAATAATGCATGAAATTTGTTCCCCGGAATCGAATCGCTTCTCGTCACCGGAACAAGAGAGCGGGCATAAATCTAAATAATTTCAACCCTCGAATTTTTATTATTCCTATGACTACGTCTGCGCCTCCCTGTATTTGAATATGCATGCCTCGCTTTCCGCACTTCGACCTCGAGTGTTCCACCTTTTGTGTAACCAGCCCTTCGCCACAATCACGATCAGTGCACCTTGCACTTGCACCGAGGCCGCTTATAGATCGTCAACGTTGTTAAACGATCGCTTAGAGAGGCCGCTTGTTTCGCTCGTTCGAATAAATTTCGATTAGATCGAAAGGAGATCAACTCGGAGAAATTTCGGTTAATTTCTTCTTTTAGCGTGTCCGATATTTATCCTTCGATCTCGATGATATCTCCTCCATGATTGGCCTCACACTTTTGTAGTGGCTGTAGTGGTCTGTGTTTTTTTGAAAAAAAAAAAAAAAAAGGATGAAACAAGAAATAGAAATCAATGTATGTATCAAGAAAAATTTTTGTCATTTCGTACGTATATCATAGTTGAATGATAGAAGAAAATTTAATATTAAAAATTTACTGGAAACTCGGTCATTACTCACTCGGGGAATCTCGATAAATCACGGAAAGTATTAACGAGCAGCGAAGATGACACCGGATCTTTCCCCATTCCTTTCTCTTCCTTCGCCGACCATGAAATATAGCCGACAACTTTTCTCATACTTGAGAGTTTTCCTTGGAAGCATACTGTACTATGGAGAAAAGGGTAGGAGAAAGGGGAAAGTTATAAAGTGGTTGAGAATGAAAACTACAACATAACATCACAAAGAGTAAAACTGTGTAACATTGATATTGCAAGAATTATATTTTTACAATTAATGCTTCCTTAGAATGTAAGAATGTAATATATAAATAGAAATTAAGAAATTCTTCATATTATTCTCATATTTATATGAGTAATAATTAGAGGTAATTTTTTTTAATTATTAAAACACATACACAAATAAATATACACTACGTATCTTAAATAGTTTTTATTCTTATATATTAAAAAATAGAAAAATTTTATGTAATATCTCATCTCGAATTATTCTCTATGATATTCTTTTTACAATTGAGACATTTTTTTATGATAATTATTAATAAATAATT